ACAATAATTTTTTCTTGCGTAAATATGAAGCTTGTCATGTATACAAACCAATTCCGATACAAGAAAATGTTCAAAAAACTTTAAACTTGTTTTTTTCCAAAAGTGCTCTCATTTTGTCTTAAAAGTGTTCCGTGGACCGGTAACGAATTAGTGGGTGATGACGTAGAAAACTGTGAAAACTCTCAGCTGACACCAAAAATCTCTCATATCTCTCGTAATTTTGTATCAGTCAGCGTTGAAATACTCTTTAAATGATGTCCAATAGCGATGTATACTTACCTTCAACAAACTCCATTGAGAGTTGTGATACATCGTACTCAAGTAGTATTACAACATAGCTAGTAATTTGTCTAATCAAATTCAATTACGTGAGCGTGTTTCATATTACTACTGTGTACGATCATGACGTCAGCAAACAAATTCCTAAAGAAAAAAAATACCGCGATTTTCTACTTCAAACAAAATTGAAACCATCGGGTTGAAAATGTTATGAAACAATTGGTTCATACGTCAGCTGTACGTTTATCGAGATATGAAGATGATATGAAGATGATATGAAGATGATATGAAGATGATATGAAGATGATATGAAGATGATATGAAGATGATATGAAGATGATATGAAGATGATATGAAGATGATATGAAGATGATATGAAGATGATATGAAGATGATATGAAGATGATATGAAGATGATATGAAGATGATATGAAGATGATATGAAGATGATATGAAGATGATATGAAGATGATATGAAGATGATATGAAGATGATATGAAGATGATATGAAGATGATATGAAGATGATATGAAGATGATATGAAGATGATATGAAGATGATATGAAGATGATATGAAGATGATATGAAGATGATATGAAGATGATATGAAGATGATATGAAGATGATATGAAGATGATATGAAGATGATATGAAGATGATATGAAGATGATATGAAGATGATATGAAGATGATATGAAGATGATATGAAGATCGAGGCGTAGCATCGAAGATGCGTGAAGTTCCTCGAGGCGTAGCATCGCATATGATCTTGCAGCATCGAGCAACTCTTACGCATCTTTCGTGCTCTCTAAACTTCCCAAGTGCTTCATATCTCAATGAACGTACAGCTGACGTGTGAACCAATTGTTAAGAGAAGAAACGGAAGTTTCGAGAACGGTTCAGTCCTACGAAGGAGAACCGCGTGCATCAAACGAAGATTTCGACGAAGACTGACACAGACGGTGTTTCGCCTGCAGCGTTCAGGTCAAGATTAGAGCAAGAAGTTCCACAGCCTTTTATTCCTTCGCACTATGTGCGGCGAAGGTTCCCCTCAGTCATTGCTCTAGAGTTTCGTTGTTGTAGAGAAATTCCTTTAGTGACCAAAAGCTAACTGTTGACGAAAGAATCAGCCGTATCGTGAGGCACCATAAATTTTCACCGAGAGGTCATCATTCAATTCAGCGTCAGCCGTGACTGACCCATAATAGTGCTTATAGCTTGCTTCCCGTTTTCGTAATGGATCGGAAATTCGTTATCTCAATACCCAAGATTGTTCAACCCCTGAGGAAACTGTACGGAAAGGTTTTCTCCAATAAAACATGACCGTGCAAGATTATTCTTAAAACGAAACGGAGTTAAAATGATTAAGGAAAAATAAACTTCCTATGAACATATACAAAGAATCATTGGCTCTATTGCCAGCCGATTGTTAAACAATAGCACGGAATACTGTGACAACTTTTTGACAGTAAATGTTCCCGTTTTTAAATCCCTACTTACGAGAATATTCTCACTCCAAAATCCCGAAGGACCTGGGACCCCATTCTTTTAACTCTATTGGTAAATGCAATCTCATTATAGTCAATCCTGTCGTGAAAATGCGATCCAATCCAGCGGAAAAGCCTGATTGGCCTCTCCCCATGAAGTACTTACCCCCCGCCCCACGGGCATGCGCACCGTAAGAAATGATATTGGCGGGGTCTTGTCAAGCACAGCTTCTGCACAATGACGTACTTAAAATTTCTAAAACTTTTTTTATCTCCTCGTTGCTTAGTCGCCACTAATCTTAGCCCTGGCAATCAAGCACTACCACTAAGTTGAATTCTTTGATCATCGGAACAAACTTAATTTGGGAGTACCATTCTGTTCATGTTCTTTGGAAAGGCTGTAACAATAACAGCCAAAGTTCCTCATATAGCAATCAGAAAATGCGATTCAGATAAGTTTTTTTTGAAAACTTTGCAGAAGTAAAGTTCTTTAAATTTTTGTTTTGCTTTTTCTTTCTTTCTTTGGGTGACATTGAGAGGTATTCTACAATAGTATCTATCCTGTTACACCTCACTGGGCGGATATTGCGAAAGATCAGAAATAAGATAGACAATCGGAAACTCGGATGCCGACGGCTAAGACAAAAATGTCTGCATACCCGCCTCAATGACTCAAAGTGAAAAAATTAAATATAGTGTGCGCGCTCTCGTTGGCCGATAGGTGAGTTGCAATTGAGACGCCATGCTTTCTTCATTTGTCGTATCATATTTGCGTCGTGAAAGAAAAGACAGGAAACTGTCAACAACCAAGTGCGTAAGGGCACTCGCAGAGAGTCCGTGAGAGAAAACAAAAAAATAGAGAAAACAAAAACAAAGCAAAAAACAAATCACAAGGATTAAAATTGAACGTTTTCATTTACATCACTATTGTGCAATAGCATCACATTTCGACATTCCTATCCTAGCAGCACAGAGGAGGTTTGTCGCCATGGACCTAATTAAACAACTCAGCCTGTTACTAGTTTCCAGAAAATCGGAAGTATTTTTCGGAAGGTCATAGGTTCGACTCGGAGTTCTTCTTCCATTAATGCCTGTGTCAATCAATGAAGAACATCATCTTAAAAATACAAAAACAAAAACAAAAACCAAATTGCCTGAAGCTTGAGAAACCGCAGATAACCTTCTCGGGCATCTATGAGTCGAGTCTTATAACTAACACATGTGTATTTTACTATTAGCAAGCATTTTCGCCGAGAACTTGCCTCCGAGGCTATCGAGCGAGGTAGGCTGATGGCAAAATGTCAGATCTTATTATTCGCAAATCTTAATATTCGTCATCTAAATCTTTTTTTTTTCTAATTTCACATTCATTGAGTTCATCTCACTTAACTTTATCCCACTCTATCCTCTCCATCCCACTCTTGCCTAAGCTAATCTTGATATTATTCGCGCGTTAAGGACTCGAAATCGTAATGACGGAAGATTGGAGTTGCTCACGGTCCACTTTCTAATGCTCGATAGATTCTTTAGTGTAGTGATAGCCGTGTATCCCCTTTACCGGCGTTTTACTCTCAAGATCTTATCAGAAATTCTCCTTACTGGCTGCCATTCAAGCATTATGGTGTTATTTTGGGGAATTTATTATTGGATCCTGCTATAAATAACTCCCTTATTTATGTTTCTCGATATTCTCAACACTTGTCTGCTCGATATTGTGTTGATGCTGTGAGAAGAGGTTCTGCCTTGAAGCGACTTGAAGGTGGCAGCAACCCGTTTACGTAATGGATCATAAATTCAAGGACTTTATTCTGGCAGCATTTCAACCTGCAAAGGCGATCCGACCGATAGGTTAAATCCAATAAACATGACAATTAAGATTTATCGAAGATTACTTAAACTGTCTCAATTTCTCTCAATACGAAAGAGGCTAGTCCATAAAAAGCGAAAACGTAGTGTTTCTGCGCATTTATAAACAAAACTATTGGCTTTGCATTTTAGAGATTTTAAATTGAGAGGGAAACGAATAAAAAACATTACCTTAGTGTCTCGGACTTTTCCTTCACAGACTGATAGCTAAGTAGCTTAATGATCAGTCGCCATGCAGTTTCATCAGATGTTAGAACAGTGCACAGACAATTAAGGGTCAAACTACATTCGTTTCCTGGCCATACCACGACCGAAATCAAATGATAATCCTTCTTTATCCAGGGTTTCACTGATAATTCGTAGGGATTACAAATAGCGTTTTTCGTTCGTATCTATCCAAGTTTGGGAGACATATGTTTCTTCTTTTGTAATGTTTTGTTTTTGTTTGGTTTTATTTGTATCATCAAGATATGCAATATAAAGTACTTGTGAAGTTGTTTACTAATTTGTGATAAAATTAGGTTCCCAACTTACACCTCCATACCTTTACAGTCTTAAATGTTTGTCGATCGTGCGTAAGAAGCTTCACTGGCAAATATGGAAATGAATAACCACTGTAAGCTTAGAAATTCTCGAGTATAATAGGTTTGCAACCTGTTGGGTAACCATGGCAACACTTTCGTAAATGCATAAATAATGAACAACAGTCTTTATTTCTCCACGCGTTAAAACTCACGTCTTAAGTTACATATTTTGATTTAATCTTAAATCGTTTTATTGATAGCTCTAAGAAGATGAAGCTTTAAAAATCATCATAAAACACAAAAACTGAAAAATTAAGTAAAAACATAAGATATTATGAGCTCCAGCCAGTAGCTTAGAACGTTCCATAGGTATAGATCTTTCTGAATTAATCTCGATGCGATGAAAATATTCTTTTCTAAAATCGCAGTTGATCAACTATATACGGTTAAGTTTATGATTTCGTCATTTCTTCTAATCTGTATATTCTAAGCATTTTAAAATCTAGAATTAAATGGCTTTGAAAAAAATACACGTCGTATATCTTGTCATGGAAAACTTCTTAACGTTTCAAAATAGCATCGATTGGTCCGGATAAATTTCTTTGTCGGATATTAGAAAACTGAATTCACAGATATATTGGTTTAATTTCGACAGCAAGCGAACTGATTTTTTTTTTTAATCATAGCGTTTTCAAATCAACAATGAATAGTAGGTAAAAAAGGATCAACATCACCATGCATGCAAAGGCCACTCGATCATTAATCTGCCAACCACAATTGTATTAAAAGCGAATTTGACCGTTCTGAAGACGCAGAAATCACTATTTATATGAACACTTTACCGTCAGAAAGTTTTAAAAAAATCCGCTGGTCTAATTTTCATTTCAGTTGATGTGGGGTTGCTGCCCTCGGGCCTTTTTTGATCCAATTGATCCCAATGGATATTGGCCAAGGTTTTATTTCCACAATGCGGATAAATTCCGTTGAGATTCGACCAAACAGCACAATCACTACTGCCATACCACCAACCTCCGCCTCTTTTTAGAGTACAATTAGCAGCATCTTTATCCCAGGTACCAAAAATGAAATCTTTGTGAGGATTGAGGGAATCATTGGAAACAGTTGCATCTGCTTAGAAAAAAAAAGAAAATTCCATAATATTAGGATCATGATAACACTTTTGACACCTCAAACTCGATAACTACTATTATCGAAATACAAAAATATCGGGCAAAATTATGAATACTAAAATTTTATGATTTTGCTAAAGCCGAGTTCAATGACTCTTCTATTTCAAGCAATCTCGAGAGCAAACTGACCACGGAGGAGCGTGAACTCAACTAGGTATAGGCAAGATGAACAGCAAAACACAGTCAAGCGGGTATACGCTAAAACAAACCATTATTTGCAGGTTACGTGAAGTTGGGGGAAGGGATTGAATTAAAAATCAGTTTTCATTAGGATTCAAGTTTTCACTGACTTGTATTTTCAATTTACTAACTTTGAAGCGGACAAACAACAGTTTAAGAAGCCTCTCTGAAGAAGCCAATAACCTAACCCTAAGCAAAACCCCTTAAGCTTTGGTATGAATGGGGCAGTAGACGTCGATAAGGAAGTAATACATAAAGATCGAACGATGAATGTGTAAAAAGACTGTTTACTTACTTGTCATATTGCCAATGTACAGCCGATAGTCAGCCGTCCCGTTTCCAATTCCAAACCATTCATACTCAGCGTGAACAGTTTGGCGCGTAGTCACCCCCAGATCTACGCGAAGCATGTTCTTTGTCTTATTTTGTGTCAGACGGTTTATCTTGTCCAGTCCGAGCCAAAATTCACCGACCAAGTTACCGAAGCCATGTTTGTAGTCATTCCAGGTGCGATTAAAATCAACGGAGCCATCCATTCTCTTCTGGAAGACTGTCCATCCCCCACCGGAAGTAGTGTGGTCACAATAGACATTAAAGGCACCTGAGCCATCTGGGTCGATTGTGTAAACACCGCTGATCCTTTGACCGGAATGGTAGAGCTCAGCACAGTTCTTAGCTGTCGATAAAGTACAAGGGAATAACAGTTGATATTCTCTTGAAAAGTAACAATAAAAATTGAAATGAAAAAGAATAATAGTAAAGGTAGTAAACACACATAAACGAAGAGGAAGTGTGCTTACGTCTCGCCAATGTTTTGTTCTCCATGAGAATTTTAATCTCAAATCGAACTTGGGTGACTTCCTTCATTATTTCTTCCAAACAGACGGCAGTGTTCTTTTGGCAATCTATCGGGAATGCCCGCGTTGATGGTAGAATTTGATAAGTCACAGAAAGTGCCAGAAAAACCAGAGCAGATCCTGAAAGAAAGAAATCTTATTAGGTGGTGTGAGTTCACTACCCAGGGCCAATCCAGGATTGGCAAGGGGTGTCGGATTAATATCTGCCGATTAGGTATCGGCATCGTACAATTTGTGCGGAAATCACATCATGTCCCTTCCCTAACCAAAAACAACGACTTACGGTCTGCACTCTTTTTCATACTTAGCTAGCAAAATATGGAACTCTCTCCCAGACACTTACAAAACATTAAATTTTCTAGAATTCAAGCAGGAGATCCTTAGATATGAAGCTTTTCCACAGTAGATATACAAGTTATATTCCCTCTGCATGCATAATGTTGTTTATTGTTTATAAATAATTTTTCTCGAAGATACTAGCTGTACAGCTACACTGTGAATTTCGAGCGTCAATAAAGTATATGTATGTATGTATGTAGGAATCCTTTTGCTGTTGCTTCTTACTTCCTGAAATTATCACTTGAAATTCGCTCGGTAATATATTAAAAAACAACAACAACAACAACACCAACAACGCGAGTAATACATGTATATATAAATTCTTTCATCACATAAAAAAGTTGTAGGACGATAGTATCTTAGGGACGGATCGTTAGATTTTTGAAAAACATCGTGCAATTGGCAAAAGTCCCTTCGCCCCCCCTCCTGCATCAAAAATGTAATGGTCTGCTTACAAGCGAGACAATTTAGCTGGTAAAAACAAGTATTTACGTCCTTTTTTGTATTTTTCTATGCTTCCCTCGCTCCTAAAGAGGATTCGTACAGATATGAGTGCCGTACCGCGTTTACATTATACAGGTACAAAAGGTTGTCCGGAATAAGTGTTTCCTTCTGGAATTAAAATCTCAGTAAACTCATTCAGAAATGACTCGTTTTGAATAATTTTACTCTGGTCTCATGCGGTAACCAGGACGAACTCGTTCTTGAACAAAACTTATTCCGATATCATGTAAAAGGCCCCTAAGAGTTTTTATTCAAATAGCTTCAGGCAGAATACTGTGAATTCCAATATCGCTGAAGCAACAACCCGTTTTTAACTGCTACGCTGCCACTGAAACATCGATTAGTGACCACTTAAAGCACATATTCTGATATTGTCAATTCAACATAAACAAAAAATCTACAAACAGGATAAATATTCCTTTGTTTTGACGCTACTTTTCGACATAGAGGAAGTATGTCGGACAGAAATATTTACCAAAAAATACATGTTTCATTGCCAGCTTCAATAATGACAGGGACTTAAGTTTAGATGATAAAACAAAGGATTATGTTGACAGAAATAACGGAGGTTAAGTAAATTCGTTACATGAGGTCACCCAACTCGGGTAATATTCAAGGTGAAAATTTGCATATTTTAGCGGTCGAAGGAAAACAATCATTTCTCGAAAACTAAAATATATTTTTACAAAAAAACTACACCACAATTATTCGGACATATTGGGTTACAAAATATGAAGGTAGGAGTGTAAGAAAATTTTGGGTGACTTGCCGTTGCACGTTTGTCTCATGTATGTTGACATTAGCTCTTAAGAGATTAAGAGGTTGCACGTCACTGTTTTGACGTCATCTCCGATCTTTCGCAAGACTTGACTAAAAATTTCACGTAACAAATAGTAAGTCATTTGGGAAAATTTGCCAATGTTTATTTTGTCTTTAGCCATCATAATTCCTCCGAGCCCGAGGAAAAAATAAAAAGAGAGAAGAACTTTATCGCTTTGCCTGCCCTGATAAACGTGAGCTGGATGATATCGTCGAGGGAACTCAGGTGAACTGTCTCAAGTTTGCGGAACCTTTTTTATTCTTCTCCTTTAACTCTTCTAGAATTAGGTTGCGGCTATGTAAACACTGATGAAATTCTTTATTGCCTAATTGTCCAGAAAAAGGCCTTATATGTTTCACGATCTTAGAAGCTTTTCTTTGTAAAATTATTTACCGGCAATCGTATCGAGAAGAATATCCATCCATTCAAGCTAAGAAATGGAAAGTGTTCTGCTATGTACGAATAACGCATGCATCTTCCGCTGTATGACTAAAACTTGATTTATTTGCGCACGTGCCCCTCTCCAATTTCACCATAATGAACTACCAGGTTATTATCCGGTAATGTGAAAACACAGTCACTGCGGGTGATTGCTTAACAAATGCAGTTAGGTTGCTGAATACGAAATTAAAAGTAACAGATGATTTACAATAGGTTATTTGTCTTGACCTTGGCGCCATAAAACTGATAGGGTTTCTACGATGTCTTCCGTTGAATTGTTCTTAAGGGAAACTTACACCTCGGCTTTTTTATTTTTATCTATGATATACGACATGGCATAATCGTGTAATGGTGCAGAGGAGTATAAAATGAATTTAATTGCGATGATAGTCAGAACACAGTGACATCATCAGTCAATCATCAATTAACGCGATCGATTGGTAGATATACCGAACAATTTTTGAGGTCGGATATTTCCATATCCGACATAAAGATATAACAAGTTCTCGTCGCAAGTAATTTTATAACAGAGCTAGTAAACACGTGTAATCAAATTCAAATGCGCGAGCATGCGTTATAATCCTATTTTGCACGTTTCTAACGTTAGCCATCAAATACCTTTTCCATTTTCCTCCGCGACTTATTGCAAAGTTCTCGTCCAGCTTAGTTGCGAATTTTTAGCTTTCCGAGATACATTTTCCCTTTCCATACTGATTAAGAAATACCTTTATGAACTCTAAATGATAAACATATTTATGGAAGAAAATGTACAATTTAAGAAAGTGCATCATCATACAATCCGCCATGAATTACAACTTAAGAAGCCGATATGTATTTCCTCTTAAAAGCATGGCCTAACGATTTTCTAAAGAAATTTCCCATGCAGTATGGTCAAAGTTTACGGCTGAACTAAACAGGCTAAGTGGGCAACACAAAGCAGTTGTTTGAAAAAGCCTGAATTGTACTCAAGCGCATGCGAATTCAACAGCAGTCCTTTCAGAGTTAAAAAAAAAAAAAAAAAAAAAGGAATCTGGTTTATTTCACAAATCGCAAACGTGTTGTCGTTTTTAACAGTGAGAGCTTTCGCTCTGAATTCGAAGTCGTGTCACATTTATCCTTACTTACTGAATGAACTCTCATGGAATGTGAGAGCGAATTGAGATGTTTGGTTAAGTTGTTACTGGCAGCTGACTTTTACCTTCAAAACTTCAGCTAATAATGACTATGACTGTAATGAAAAAGCTGTTCTAAGCCATATCACCGATTTCAGTCTCTGCCGGTCAAAAGACGAAGTTGACCTAATATATTTATATAGTTAAGCATACTTATATAGTTAAGTGTACTTATATAGTTAAGTGTACTAACGAAGAGGCCAACTCTTGACTGTTCTGAACGAGTTTAATGCACGACGTTTCGGCTGTTCGGCCTTCTTCAGGTTAAAAAAAAAAAAACAAAGCAAAAAAACATATATATATATATATGTATATATTGTGGAAGGAAAAAGACAAATAAACTACAAGTTCATCCCTACAGACCTGTTTCGTGGTTACCCACTCATCAGGGGATTTAATGAGAATAATCTTTACCATCGCTTACGTAGAATTTAATTTAATTTTTGCAGCGCGAAATTTAACAGTTTAGTTGTTGCGTAGGTGGGCTTTGTTTCTGTGGCGGCAGGAAGACACGAGTTCATTACATTTGTTTAGTGTTGATAGTTCGGGTCGGCAGATGATTGGGAATTTTAAATTCCCTGATGAGTGGGTAACCACGAATCGGGTCTGTAGGGAGGAACTTGTAGTTTATTTGTCTTTTTCCTCCCACAATATATACATCGCTCTACTCCGATGTATTGAGTACTGTTTTACGAGTCAAAATTTTACGCTTTATATATATATTTGCCCTCCAAGAGACTTACATTCACCGAACTTATGTCCATATCATCGCACAAAACTTGATATCATCTTTATCAAACATTCGAAATAATGTTTTGTATGGCCAGACCAGCTTTCTGCTGGTTTTGATCGGATCCAAATTTTAAACTGAATTTACATTACTGTTCAGATGTTGATTAAATAGCGCAATTTCTCCTGTTTCGAAACATGATAGTTTCACAGCGCCTGGTGAATGAACTACAGTATCTATATTGCCACATGTAAAGATCAATAACTGTCATCGTAATGGTTTTACTTTTCACAAAGGGGTTAATTTCATTGAACAATGTGAGTTCAACCTTATTTTGAGAGGGAAACATTTGTATGATGGAAACTCGTCTATTGCTTTTTAGAATAAATTAAAATTACTCGGGAATTGGTTTCAAACATAGATTACAATCGATTGCTTCAACAATGGTGCTCGAAGGTTTCCGTAGGGTCAACTAAAATGGACTTTAACCTTTCTGGTTGAAGTACGTGTAGCAAGTATTAGTTCAAGAAAAATAAAGATGAGAAAGAAATCTTCACGAACAGTGGTAGGTTTGGATTTAGTGTCGGTTTTGTCAATCGAGTCTGTGTTGTGTGAAAACAGGTTTTTTGCCTTCACAAATAAACGGACAGACATTTTCCGCCTACCCATTGTGCATTTAAGTTCTTGCTGGTAACTCAGACTTCAATCCAACGACTTTCTATGCCTCGTTTGACCAGTTGTAAACACATGATGCAACGAATCTTTCCACTCTTGTTGATTAAAAAGCGTCCTTCTGGGTGGTATTTTAGAAAACTTATAGACAAAGGCTTTAGTTTGTCAGCGTGTTACCCGATGCATGAGATTCTCACCCTGAGAAAGAGCAACCTGGACTTATCGTTTCTTCTGTGGTTAATTTCACTTAGATACTCGTTTTTTTTAAAGACAGATCAACGGCAATACTAATTTCATGGCCAATGGGTGACCAAAGACCTTCCATTTAAGGTGCTTAACGCTCGCTTTTTCAGCGGAAATGGTGGAAGAAAATTCTCATATGTAACCTCAACAAACCACTCCCAAACAGAAATAAATGCTTTATCAAGGCAGTGTTCTTTTGA